CTTATTCAAATCAGGATATTTGGTCTGTTACCCTTATTCAGGCATAATTTTCTGCCAGAAGAGGGTGCACTATAGTGTAAGGTTGTCGGGTCCAGATATCCGGATCTGAAAAAGGCCGGATAGCCGAAAATTTTAAGTCGGATATCGGATACGGGACTTGATATCCGAAGATCTCCAACTATCCTACATCTTCTATAGTGAGGTCCGACTGTAGTTTTTCATAATTATTAATGATAGTGGCGGCGCGAAAGTCGTCCGGCGCAAAAGTCGCGGCGCAAACGTCGCCCGGCGCAAAAGTCGCGGCGCAAAAGTCCCCCGGCGCAAAAGTCGCTCGGCGCATAAGTCGCGGCGCAAATGTTCCCGGCGCAAAAGTCACGGAACCATAATGGAAATCGTTTATACTAGAAGCATTTTTTCACTTTTTTTATTGAAACTTTGGATGGATTACAATCAAATTTCGATATCCCCTATTAACTTTCGGGCCGTGACGTCTTATTGAGATTCGTCTGTATTCCCAATAAACAATGGAATTACGGATTATGTGCCATTTTAATTGGACTCATATTTTCTGAGACTAATTTTTCTTGAATTTAAACATTTATACATACATAAGGAAAGAGATTTAATATTTAAATAATTTACCTGTTTTTTGCTTTTACTCCTCCGGTTCTGGAACCAAATTTTTACCTAAAAATTAAAAAAATTTCAGTTAAATCTCACTTTAGGGTACACCTTGATTTATACGTTTTTTTAATGTTGGCCGGCTGGCTTCTGAGTGAAGGGATCTACTTAAGTAATACCCTCTATTTAAAATACCTCCATTATAAGATACAATTTTTCTCAACTCCAAGGGTGTATTTATAAATCTGGTCCGACTGTATTTTTTTCATAAAATGTCTTTAGAAAGTATTTTATGAAAAAACCAATTGTCTTGTCAATGAAGGGATTAGTAGCCCCTTCTTTTTTCTTTTCTTTGTTGTGTCCCCATTTTTATACATATATCCTCTCTTAAACAAGTCAAATCATTCCCCTTCGCTTTTTTTATTTCCTCTTTTCTTTTTGATGGAGGTATTTTTATTTTTGTTCATTTTGGCATTGTCTTTTTTGTTTTTTTGGTTATGTTGATGTATTTTTTTGTTCACAAGGGAGTGGATTAGGAGGAGGAAGAAGAAGAAACGAGAGAAGATATTTAAAGAGAACAGGGCCCTATTTCAATTGTCCACAGATTCTGCGGTCTGCGTTCTGTGCACAGACCACAGAACCACAGAAATTCTGTTTCAATTATTCCACAGATTCTGCGGAAAAAGAAGTCCGCAGATTCTGTGGAAACATGCACAGAATCTGTGGAAACATCCACAGATTCTGCAAAACATCCAAAAACATGCAAAAACCACAGAATTCTATTTCAATTATTTTTCTGTGCACAGAAAAAAATCCACAGATCTGTGGCTTTTTTAGTCGATTCTGTGCATTTCTGTTTCAATTATTTCTGTGGTCTGCGGAAAATACACAGAATTCTTTAAAAAATCCACCCTAAAATTTTTTCTGCGAACTTTCTGTGGAAAAACTTTAACAATTTTTTTCTAGGCCTAGGCTTAACCAAATTTCAAAATTTTTAAAGATTATTAAAGTTTGAATCATTCTCTATTTTTTGATATAAAAATTATAATTTTATTACCTAAAATTATTGCTTAAAATTAATTTTGAAAAAGGTACATCTTTTTTACGCAGTTTTTGTTATATTCAAGCAATAAAAAAATAAAAAACGTGAGAGATTCTGAAATTTAGAGCTATGATGTTCTAATCATCATGGATATCTCTAATGAGGGGATGTTTACCAGGATCTATAGAATATATCTGTATAGCGTATACTGGGATATCTCCCATGATCTCTCATTGATATCCGTCATAATCTCTCCTCCTATTTAATGATAGATTTCCTCCTTAATCACTCCAATATATTAAACCTCAAAATCAATGGATATCCCACTTAATCACTCCTCTACGATTTTAAAGTTCCGATTTGACTATAATTTTGGATTCCAGGCATTTTCGATTTCCAGGAACCTCAATTTCTGACTAAACAATCCCCAAACATTTCCCTCCCTTGCAACAACTTCTATCGTAGTTTGAAAAAGCCACATGTCGGATCGACATCTCCTGATTTTTCCGATCCGAACCCTGCTTTAGGACATTAATTTAATTGGAGATTTAAGGATATTGGATGAACAAGAAAATTAAGCGGTATATCAGCGGTTTTAAAGTGATATCAAAGAGATTTAAAGGGATGTTATGTGATTTGGAGGGAAAATTTTTAAATCTTTACAATATTTTTCAGTTTAATTTAAGAATTTTTAAAGTTTTACTTCAAAAAATCAGGTACCATTAATACTGCGGTAGTACCGAACTGTCCAAACCATTTTTCGTTTCAATAAAACTGTTATTTTCAAAAACGCGGAAATAAAAAATTTGAATTTAGAAGAAAAAATACACAGAACCACAGAAAAATAATTGAAATACAAATTCTGTGGATCAGTGGAAAAAATCCACAGATTTTTATATTTTCCACAGAAATTTTCATCCACAGAATCTGCGGAATGTTTCCACAGAATCATTGGATGTTTCCGCAGAATCTGCGGGCACCACAGATTCTGTGCACACAGAATTTAATTGAAACAGAATTTCCACAGAATCTGTGTTCTGTGCACAGAATGCAGAATCTGTGGACAATTGAAATAGGCCCCAGGTGGGCGAAAGGAAGAAGAAAAATTTTTGGGGGGTAAAGCATGTAAAGAAACCATGGAATGAATTACTTTGGCTAAGATGACAGAAAATCCCTTTCTAAGAAATGACAGGTGCGCGTGCCTGAGAAAAATGGAGAGATTTTTTGAAGGAAGAAAGATTGCCTGAATAGATAAGAAAAGGGAAAATGAAAATATTTTTTGCTTAAGGGGAATTAAGGGGAATATTTTCTCATGCTTTACCAAATATTTTTTGATTTCGATCAGAGAATCTTTGATTTTTATTCCAATAAAAATTTATTTTTACCTGTGTTTGTGATAACATTAGCATTTCTGCCAGTTCTGCTCGTTGTGGTAATGCTAGGTATTGATGCTGTTTAAATCTAGAAAAAGGTAAAATTAGAAGATAAAAATTAGAATGACTGGATCAGTGTTCATAAGCCCGTACCAAAATTCGTACTCGTACTTTGGTACGAAGTACGAAACCAAAATTAGGGGTGGTACGAAGTGCGAGTACGAGCAAATCTGGAATTTATGAACACAGGACTGGGGTTTCGTTAGCTTATTTTAATTTGGGTTAGTTAATTGTCTGTCAATTGAATGGTTGTCACGAATTAAACTGAGCAAATTTGAAGCTATTTTTCTGAAACTAACATCATTCAACCAAACTCAGCGATTCGCGTCGAATGAGCTATTACTTGTTTATTTGACTAATGTTGGCGGATCCTGGGATATATGGATCCAGATCCGATATCCGAACCGAAAGTTAGGATATCCGGATCCAGAACCGAAATTTTTATTTTCAAAATTTTCGCTTACGGCGCTGAAAAATAGAGTCCCGATGGAGGATACATATAGAGGATTAAAAAAATTTTGAGTTTTGATAGGCCAAAAAGATAGATTTCTTCCTTTTTCAGTTCCGCAGGCAAAAATTTTGAGAAGATCGACAGGACAGAATTCTTCTTTTCACCGCGAAGAAGTACCGGGATGTTCAAGAGGGTGTTCGGGGAAATATTTGTTATTAGGCGGGGGAATATTTGTTATTTCGACTATTCGGATACGAATATCCAGATCCGCTAACGTTATACTATTTAATGACCCATACTTTCATTAGTAGAGCTATGTATAACCACCGAAGAATTAGATACCACTTGCCTTGTGTCTAATTCTTCGCTTTTAAATTTCAACAAAAAAACCTACGCTTCATTAAGTGCCTGTAATTGTTGTGAAGAATAAATTGTTCGAGGTTTTCTTGTCTTTTTCCCTTTTGCGTTAATATGTACTTCGCTGCCTTCAATAATACGTGTACATGGGCCTTGGGCACTTTCTCTGCCAGAACCACTTGAAGGTGGCCGGTCATTTGGAAAACCTTTTTAAAAAATATTTTATAACTTGTTTTTGTTAATGAAAATTTTGAAAAAAATTTGTTCAGAAAAATAGAAAAATGAGATTGCCTATTTTTAACAACAAAAGAATTTTTTGTAACCCAAAATCGTGGAGTGTTTTTAAATCAAAGGAGTTTGATCTTAGGACTGGGGATCCAGATATCTAGGGATCCGAAAAAATTTCTGATGACCGTAAATTTTTAGTTCAGATATCGAATCCAGATATCAGGGGATTTACTCGAATCTGCCAACCTTAGTTGATATACTCTGAGAAAGTGAGATATTAAATAAACTTTAAAATAAAAACATTTATAAATTTACTTTTTATTTTTTTATTCCTAAAATTCCAAAAAACTTTTTTAATAAAAAAGAAAAGGAATTTCTTTTTAGATTTACTTAAAAAATAATGAAAGCTAATTATTTTTAAAAGAAATTCTCTCTCAAAATATGTAAAAATTAGCTATAATTTTTAAAAATAAGAACAAAAAATGATTGATTATGAGAGAAATATTGAAATTTCAAAATAAAATAAATTTGTTAAATTAATTTGTTTTTAATTTAAAATAAGTAAAAAGATCGGAGCTGTTTAGGGCAGAAAATTTAAATGCCTCAAAACAAATCTTTTGGTCTCACGGCGAGGCAATTAGATTTGGTGTAAATTTTGTCTTTAAGGAGTAGGGTTGGTCCCCATCCCCGAAAATTGGGGAACCCTCCCTCAAATAAATACCCCGCCTCTATTTATTAGTTACCAGGGTAATTTTCGCGAAAGGTCGAAACAAAATTACAAAAAAAGTTGAACAATAAAAGCAATTACCCAGGGCAATTAATAGAGTATTTTAAAAGGACAGTCTTTAAAAGGACATTCTTTTAAAAGGACATGAGAACATTCTTGGGATAGTCAAAAGGAAAATTAAAAAAAACGTGCATATTTAAAAGAAAAAGATTAAGAAATAAAAGATATTCAACAGATTTAGAAAAAATTATTTTGAAAATTTTTCTTTTTATTTTTTACCTTCAGGAGAACTAGCTGGTTGACTTGTATAAAGAAAATGTGGTTGTTGTTGTTGTTGATATAATTCAGCTAATTGTGAATGTCCAAAATGTGTTGTTGAATTATAAAAATTTGTGTTATATCCATTACTTCCATTTGAATAATAGGTTGTTGTAGCAGAAGATAATGAACAAGAAGGGGAACTTTTAAAAGGATTTTTAGAAAATTAAGGAAAGAATTAAAATCAAGTTAAAGGAAAGATGAAAATCTTAAGCAATATTTTGGAACACAAAGCTTTTTTAATTCTCAACAAATTTGAATGATCGAAAACTATGAATGTCTAGTTGTTTTTTCAAGAAAAAAAGATTTGATCGGCTCATCTTCTGTGAAGTTATGGTTGGATAAATATCGAAGATCAAGATTGGACACGCTTATCAGAGTGTAACATTTTAAGTGGTTATCTGATTAGAACAGTCTTGCTAAGGGAAATAATCTGCAAATTCTTAGCTTTTGATCGATATAAGAATCACTCAAATTGGTTAATAATTGTGGTTTAAAATAGGAAGGACCGATGGACTGAGGCTTAAAAATACTGGTCAAAAAATTGTTAAAAATAATAATTTGTTAGTTTAGATTCTCATTCAATTTTTAACATTAAAAAAAGAGAAAAGTTAAAAAATATTTAAAATTCACAAAAATTTACTTGTTAATTAAAAAATTATTATTTGGACTCTGTTCAACACCAAATAAAGCATTTCTTGTAGCCGTAACATTTTTAGAATCTTGAAATTTATTTTCAATAAAATTAGAAGTTTGTTGTTGTTGTTGGGATAATAATAAATCTTCTCTAGGCTTTTGGTCAATTAAAAGAAATGAAGGGGGAGGTTTAGTGTCTATAGCTTCTGTCGAGAAATGAGGGGGAATTGCTTGAGAATTTTCTGAAGCTTGTAATGATGTTGTTGTTGTAGACATTCAAATTAATTATTGTTGCATTAGATGGCAACAAACAAAATTGATCGCTGCTGGAGAAATTTAGAAGGAAAGAAGGAATGGGCGGTAATTAGTCGGCAAAGCCCAATTATCTTTTAAAAAAGAGAAGAGGGGAAAGATGTGGTGGTGATTGTAATACAAGCTAATAATTAAATATTATTCTTTAAAAAAGAAGGGGGTTGGCAATTAGAAGAGGAAAAGAGAGAAGGAACGCGGCAATATTTGGAGAAAAGGTAAAAATTTTTTTTAATTTTTAGAAGGAACGGATAAATATTTGAATAAACATTTAAAAAAAACTTACTTAAACAATTGTTTAAAAGAGGGAAAGAAGCTTCTCTAGATAGCTTAGCTCACCCACCCACCTCCCTTTTTTCATAAAAATACAGAAAAGAAGAGAAAAAGTCGTTGAAGCAAAAAGGCGGGGGGAAAGAGGGTATTAACGCCTATTGGTTTAAAATAAAAATAAAAAAGGGGGAAACAGTAGAAGAAAGGCGGGGCTATTAAAAGAAGAAAAGAAATGAGCATGCATTGTGTGGAAAGAAAATTGAGGGTTAAAACAAGCAAATAAATAAAAATAAATTGAAAAAGAAGAAAAAAGTCAAGGAGATATTTGAGGAGGAAAGAATATGTACATATGTACATACTCGACTTTTCTTCTTCTCAAAAAATAAATACATATATTTTTTTAAAAACAATTGTTTTGTGAGGGAAAAGAAAAAATTATTTTCTTTGTTTTTTCAAAAAAAATTTTTTTTTATAAAATTTGATACCTTTGGACTTTAAATTGTGGTGATCCGGAGATTTTCTAACAAAACCCTATTTGAGACTGTGCACTGAAAAGGGACAATCTTAAAATTTTGAGTTTTTATCTAATCAAGAGAGAATCTTTTTTTAACAAACATATTAACTGTATATTTAAACTGTACATATATTTTCACCTTTTTATTAAATAAATAAATAAATAAATATTCTTTTGTTTCAAAACAAAACAAAACTAAAGAGGCCTATCCACTACCTCACTAATTTAATTTTAAATTTACATATATTTGATTAATTATGTAATGTTTATGCTGTGCAAAAAATTTCTTGGATGTAAAAATACAATGGAATTAACCCCCAGAATCATAGAATGTGTCAAAGCTCAGCCGAAACTATTTACCATCATACTCGATAATTATTTTTATTTATTCATAAATATTTCTTCAAATGCGGACACAACAACATTGTATAATACTATTTACTAGATTGAGACGAGATTTTATAAAAAGGCTATTAAGCTCGAAAAATCTGTGATTGAGAGATCTGTGACTCCAATTAATTAAAGCTTCAAGGGTCTTCCAGTCTGTATTGTCTTCAATTTTTAACAATTTTCTGGATTCTTCCTTCAACCTCATTCACCCCCCCCCCCCCCAACATTCTAATCCCTTCCCTTCTCTTCCACAAATCCCTCACTTTTTCACCCAAATAATTCCTTCAAACAAACATTCCCCTACAGTAATAAAAATATTCTTTTTCCATTCATTTCCTCTTGTCTCGACAGTCCGTCACAACCCGTAGGTGTCGCTATTGTTATTCATTCAATTTTTTTCAATTCCCCCTCCCCCCCCCCCTTCCCAAAAATACTTTTCACTTGGTCTATTCTTTTGTTAATTCCCCCCTTCCCCTTCCCCCCCCCTCCCCTTTTTAATATAAAATTCCCTCACAACCTAAATTTTCTTTTTTCTTCCACCCCCCCCCCTTCTACCCAATGAATCGGCGTGAATTTGTTGTTGTGAACAAAGCCCCGCAATTTACTGCCGTGTAAAGGTGTGTATGAGGAAGGGGGAAGGAGTTTCGGACAAATATAAAAAACCTAAAAAAGTGATGTTTTCGGCGAGTCTATTTAAAACATACGGATAAAATAGAAAGATAAAAAGAATATAAAAATAAAAAGGTAGATGCAGATGTTGGGAAGGAAAAAAGAATTAATTGTTTTTCTGTTTTGTTGTTCACCTTTCACGAAAAGATCTTTCGACGCGAAAAGTTTGGCGCCTTGAGAAATAAGGGCGGCGTCAAAAGGCTGCGCCGAAATAACCAACTTTTTTCCATTGGCGGCAAAAAGACGCAAATATTTTTAGTCGAAAAGGAAGGAGAAGATGTGAGGAAGAAAAAAGAGAAGGAATAGCCAGTCAGTCAGGTAGCTGAGAAAATTACCAAGTCTATAAAATCTTCATGGATTCACTCATCTGATGATTCAACCGGATTTTCTTCTTCTTTTTTTCCCCTCCAAGGCCCTTCTAACCAACCAAACATTTTTCCCTCAGAATCAATCCGGTCTTTTCTCTTAAAGAATAAGGTGTCAGAAAAAAGAAGAGAAAATAAATAAATATATTTTTATGTTGATCTACTACTCTTCAAAAAAGGAGTAAGTGAGGTGGAAGATTTTTTTTATTTACGCCGGCAAAAGGGCAATAAATATATAAATTTAATATAGAGGAATTTGTGGGGGGATTTTAGTTGAAAATTATTATAGTTAAATTTAGTTAAAAATTAATTTTTATTTTACATATTTTTTCAAAAAAAATATTTGTTTTAAAATATTTTTAAGTAAAAGGAGTAGATCACGTATTAATTAACAGAAGGTGTACATATGAAAAAAAGAAGCAAGCCAACATCCAGAGGTTTGTGCCCAACGGGAATAATTTCTCAGCGTGAGATTTATATGTTGAACAAATGATTTTGTGTTTCATTCAAAGAAGAGAAAGGTTTTGAATTGTTTGGGGGGGGGGGGGGGAATGGCTTCTGAAAAATTTTTTTGAATAAAAAACAAAAAATTTTTAAATTTATGTATGTTGACTGAAATAAATTTCCAAGAAAAACATTGTTTTATTAGAGAAAATATTTTCTTAGAGTTTGTTTTGGATTCCGTGCAATTTTTTATGTTAGGGGCATCTGAAGTAACTAAAATTATACAAACTCATGGATATCCCCATATACATCTTCATACAAAAAATATCTTCCTTTCTTTCCTTGCCTTTCTTAACAAAATTAACAAAAAAAATTTTACAAAATTTATTTAATAAAAACTAAATAAATAATTATTTTTTCTATTGTTTTCTAATATACACACACAATTTCTTTGCTTTAAGCCTTTCAACGCTCTTTTGCTTCTCATTGTCATTGTTTTATGTGCAACGGCCTTCAGCAATGTTTTAGAAAAGCATAAAAATAATATTAAACAATAATTGCCCATTTCCTTTTTAATTTTCTCGTTAACTGAATTCTTCTCTTTTTTTAATATTCCCCTCCCCCCTCCCCATCCCCTCCCCCAAACAAACAAAAGGATTGTCCTCACTTAACGTCCCTAGGGCCATAATTCTCTTAGCTTTTCTTAATTTCTTCCGGCAATTTAAATTACAGTGTCAGGTCATATCTATAGAATGATATTTCTCAACGAGATTTGTGACGAAACAAAAAATTTTTAATCGAGAAAGTCGAAAAAAGCGGAAATTGAAAATTTGAGGGTAAAGACAATTTACCGACTTTAAGACAATCCACCGTCATTACAACAATGTTATTAAGTGGTACAATTCACGTATAAGCAATCAACCGACAAAAATATAAAGTCAAACAATAGGTATCTAAAAGTGAGGGTATGTTGTTCAGCTGTAAGAAAATTAAAATCATATTTGTTAAGTAAAAAAAAATTACGTATCCAGTGTTTCGACAAAAGTTAACTAAAAATAGAAACTATCAGCGAATTGTCGGGACGGTGAATTGTCACTTCTTCTTTCACGTCTTTTTACATTTCTTCCACCTTTCCTTTTTCTTCATTTTCATTCTTCTCATTCACATCCCCTTCCCCGCTTCTTCTTTTTCCTCCTTCCGGCAATAGGCAATTATCTAGTCCTGCCCAACCGTAATTATAGGGCAGCAGGAAGCATATACAAACGTCGGCCAAGATTTTTCTTTTTTCCTTCTCCGCTGGCAAAAACGGAAGAAAAACGGAAAAAAGAAAGGAAAGAGCAGAAGATGTTTATGGGGGAAGGCCGAAAAAATAAAAATAAATAAAATTGTTTGGTGTGAAATATGGTTGAATAGCATGGGATTGGATATATTTTTATTTAAAAAGGAAGAGAGAGAGAATGAAGGATGTTGGGACGAGAATGAAGCGGCAATAAAAAAAGAAAGAAAAAAGCTTGAAAATAAAAATAGTAGAGTTTATTGACTTGAATTTAAATAATAATTTTAATCAACAAGTTGTCATCATTAAACTATCTACATACATATCCCTGGAATTATTCCTAGGTGCTTCGTGCACCTGGTCTAAAATTTTACGGGTTGGACAGCAAATAAATAATTGAAAAAGCAATAATAAATAGGAAATTTTTTTTAGGTTTTTGGCCTAAAAACCCGCTTCGTTGTGTTGGAAAATCACAGGTGTTTCGTAACGAAACAAAACGATAACAAGAAATCCTACGAAGCAACGAAACGAAATGTTTCGCCGCGTCTGATCCGTATCGAATTCTGCGGAGATTTTTCAAAATATATTCTGGCTTTATGACCATTAAAAAAGTTGTGGTTTGAAAATTTTTTAAATTATGAAAGGGTTTTTTTTGACTTCGACTAAGTCTTGATAATGTTAATTAACTCTAATATAGTCCTCTCTATTGAGAATGTCAAGAGGTGATAATCAAAAGTTTCTTCAGATCGGATTTTTGGTCCAAGCAATCTGGGTTTGTGACACATGCTTTCTCTATTAAATTTATTCTTATTTAGTTAAGATATTTCTCATTTGAAGACAACATTATCTAAAATTAATGTTAAATAATATTAAATATTAGGCAAAAAACTTTTTCAAATCCAAATAACTTGTTAACTGTTTAGTGTTTAAATTTGGTAATAAAAAATTTCATAAACGTCCACCACCACCCCATTATATCCATTAATTCACTAAAAATCCTCTTTTCTCTTCAAAAATTTATTTGGTCATTCCAAGTCCATTCTACGCAATGTGAAAAGAAAAAAGGTAATTTCAGTGATGGAAGCGATGAAAAGGTGAAGGGATAAATTTGGAGGGAGAGATGAGAGGAAAAAAGTGGGGATTTTGGAGAGGAAATTTGTTTGGAAAGATGAACTCTCTCTTTTTTTTATTTTTAAATCCTTTCCTTCCAAGCGTGTTCGAAAATGAAGAGAAAATTTTATGGAGATAAAAAAGAGGGGAGGGAGGGGAGAGAGGATTAATTTTGAAGGAACGTAAAAAAGAAATAAAATTGAAACCAAATAAAATAAAAAGAAATATAAATCTGGATATTGAAAATGAGAAAATTAACTAGTAGAGAGAGGTAGAAGGTTGTTATGTAGCTGATGAAAATTTAAAGATTCCTTTTTTGAAAATCCAAATTTTTATTTTGATTGGTGAACTCCTCAATCTTTTGCCATTTTTCCAGTCGGAACTCACAATAAAATACAAATTAAGGGCCAAAAATACCTTATAAAGAGTTAGTTGTATTTTAAATTCATATAGAAATCGCTGTGCGTTTTTTACGACAAGAAAATAACATAAAAAAAAAGAGACAAACTTGCATCTTCCCTTTTTCCATTATCTTTTCTGTCGCAAGCAGGGGATGTCCATAAATGAAAAAAAATTTCCGCAGCCGCAATCCGCAGTCTGCGTCAAAAAAACTTAATTTTACGCAATCCGCAATTGCAGACAACCCTGATCGCCGGTCGCAAATCGGTTTCTATATGAAGTAGATTAGACCTCCCACCAATTTAAGAGAGAGGAGGTTCGACTGTATATTTAAAAGTATTTAATGTTGAATTATTTTGGCTTTGTTTTCAATAGATAACCTTCAATTCTCTCCAAAAATAAGTTTATCCAAGCGGAATATACCCCAAAGAATGAACGAGGGAAAATAAAAAGAATTTTTAGGATGATCTATAAAAGAAAATGTCGGCATTTTTTGTTTATTAAAAAGTATATATAATAGTGATTTAATGACGAAAATTTTGTGAAAATAATGAAAAGAAGGAAAAGAGAGGAGAATTCATGCAATTTCGGTCGAGGCCGGACAAAATAAAAATAAAAATTCAAAGCTAAAACAATTGCTCAACGTTCACTAAGCAATAAAAAAAGGAAGGAAATAAAACAATAAAAAAGGTGGTGATCGCTGAAAAATGAGAAAAAGTTCGAGAAGGTTGGAAATTGTAAAATAAAAATTAGAAAAGAAAAAATTGAATAAATCCGGTTATAAATATAAGGGATCCCGTCAACATAAAAGTTCTTAATAAATGTTTACCGTATTTCGAAACATATTTTGGCTAATTATTCATTTACTTTAATTATTTTTTCATTATACATACAAGTGGAAACCAAAAGTAATGGTTTTTTCCAAGCAACCATCATTAAATCCCATCCGAACCAGGGGTGAGCGCATTGCGTTTTGCGTTTTGCGTTATTTGCGTTAAATTTTGGCCTTGCGTTGCGTTTTGCGTCTTGCGTTATTTTCGATGAAATTAACGCAAAAAATATATCCAATCTGAGGACAAAATTAGAGAAATCTGGCTTATTGGCCTTCCAAAATTCTAAAAATTTTCGCCTGCGGCGCTAAAAAATGAAGAAATTTTGCTTTCCGGCCTTCCAAAATTCTTAAAATTTTCGCTTGCGGCGCAGAAAATGGAGGAGGGATAAAGTGGCCAAGTGGAAAATATCGGAGGAACTGAAGTGATAGAAGACTATCGGTCGATTTACTGCGATTAAGGTTGATTTAAAAAGATATCGGGGGTTTGTAGGGATATCCTGCTATATCTCTGCAACCCCTGATAACTACTATATGCTCAAATCCCTGTTATTATTCTAATCTGAGGGCAAAAATTGGAAGAAATCTAGCTTCTGCTTTCCAAAATTCTCAATATTTTTGCCTGCGGCGCTAAAAGTAGGGTATTTAAATATTTAAATACCAATTTTACATCTTGAAACGGCTCAAAAAATATCGGTTCATTATCTGGAGCTCAGATCTCAAGTTATCCTCCAAATTACCTGATATCCCCGGAATCAATTTATAAATACTGATAGCCCTTTATCCTCCGTTATCTCCCTAACTCACTCGACATCCTTTAGTAATCCCATGGGATCTTTTTAAATTTACTTGATCGCTCCAAATTACATGATAATCTGCGTAATCCCCAGCCACTTCGTTAACCACCTTGATCGTTCTAAATCCTCTGATATCCTTCATAATCCCTCTAAATCCTTTATCTCTCTCCAAAACATTACTCATCCAACTTACTTGTACCTCAAACTTAATTATGACTCGCTAACTTATAGTAATACATCAATTTTTAACTGAAAAATGGCTAATACTTAATTTAAAAAAATTTTTTCTCAATTTTGCGTTCTTGCGTTTTGCGTTTTGCGTCTTGCGTTATTTGCGTTAAATTTTGGCCTTGCGTTGCGTTTTGCGTCTTGCGTTTTTTGAGATTGTCTCTTGCGCTCACCCCTGATCCGAACATTGAAGAACCCGTTATTGCCAAATCCTGTACCAAATGAATTTTTGCAAATCCAATATGGTAATATGTATGTACATTACTACCACAAATAATTCTTCCCCATCCAATAATTTCAAGTATATTTTTGGCTTGAGTTGGTGGCGGCCCCTGGGAAATCCCCGGAACCGATATCCTAAAGTCATCTCTGATGTACTGACTTTTTCTGATAAGGATATCTGGATCTGCTAACCCTATTACGGCATGATTTTCTACCCCAATGGGTACACTACCGACTGTAGTTATTCGTATATTTCTTAACGGCTCAAAAAAATTTTGAGTGACGGCTCAAAAGTCGCCCAGAACAAAAGAGCAGCGCAAATGTTCGGACTAGGGATGGGTCGGGTTGAGAAAAAGTCATGTCGGGTTTACAAAATTTTCGGATCTTTTAGGTATCGGGTTTCGACTAACCTGGCCCATCCTGTTCATGACCTGTTCATGACAGGATCATGAACAGTGTCTTGCCCCTAAATCCCGTATTTTAAGCGATGAACTGGATTATCAGGATTAATCACGCGGAATCCTGTCACATTCAATCTTTTGAAAAAAAATCCCTTTACAGGATCCCGTGAATGCAATTTTTCCGCATACTAGAATATGATGATAAATTCCACATAGTACGTGTTAAATTTTTTTCATCTTTTTAAATTGTTAAATTAATATTGCTTTCTTCAACTTTAAAAAACTGATCTTCAGTTTCTCCTCATAATTTATTTTAATGTAAATCCTTTTTTAATTTTAGTCGTTTTTTAAAAAGTATTCTTTGCATATTCTGGATTGCAATTTTTGATTTTACACATATTTTTGCATTTTTCTTTTCTCATTTTCAATTGACTGGAAATTATTTAAAAGGTATTTAATTTATTTAAAGGTAGAATGGCGGGGTTTGTCGGGGGTTTTTTTTATCAAATGCCTGTTTATTGTCCAAAGATTCTGTACACAACCACAGATTTTTTGTTTTAGTAGGTATTTCATAGATCTCGCTAAAAAACGTCGACAAATTTCTAAGATTTTTGGATACTTGCTGGTTGGAAATAGCTTGTCGACTGATACCAAAATCAATTAAATTTGATAATCCTCGTCTCTCCCGCGATCATTAACGAAGCCGACAATTTCAGATTTTCACAGTGCACAGAATCTTGGGACAATTAAAACAGGCTTTTCAGAAAGAATAAATGTCTAGTTAACACTACTAAAATTATCTAAAGTTTAAATACCAATCTTTAAAAATATTTGCAAACAAAAAAAAATTTGGCACAAAATTGCGCCCTTTCAGGAGAGCGATAAATATATGGGAGGTTTAGGCTTAACAATAACATGCGCAATCGGGGCAGGCGCACTTGGTTTGAGTGCAGCCACCCTCCCTTTTGTCCTTCCTGCTTTTCGACGTGTTTGTATACCTTATGTGCCGGCTACTGTTAAACAAATCGAAAATGTTGTTAAATTGATGGATCAATACAAAAATGCAAACCCCGCCACAAGAGGGCTAAAAATAATTGATTTGGGCAGTGGAGATGGAAGAGTTGTAAGTAAATTTATTTTTTTTTTTTTTTGGTTCAGATTTTGAATTTGGTTGTTTGAGAGACTAGAAAATTTTTAAAAATTATTTTTTGTTGTATAAATATTTAAATAAAATTGTGCAATGAAATTTGGGGAACAATTAGCAAGTCATTTAACACCAGAATGGAGAAAGCAATATATTCGTTATGAAGAACTTAAAACGCTTTTGTATGATATTATGTTGGAAGCGCCTACTGAAGCAGATGCGAGAGACCAGTTTTGTTTTTTTAAATATTTGAGGGCTTGGAATTTTTGGGGAGTTGACGTCGATATTTAGAGATTGGGGGAATTCTGAAGAATTTTGATTTGATTCTTGGTTTCTCATTAAGAAAAAATAGGAGGTAACTAAAAATCGAGAAAAGTATTTACTATAGTTGTGGCTAGTTAAGAAAATCTTTTGTACGCTTTAGAGGGTATTTTTAAACATTTTTCTTTTTTTTCCTCTTATGACTCGTGTATATTTCCTCCAATTTTTTTAAATAATTTTAGCTAATTTTTTCTTTTTTAAAGATATATTTCTCAAATGGATGAAACATTTTTTGCTGAATGTGAAAAAGAACTTGTCAAAATTAATTTATTCTTCAGTCAAAAAATAGCTGAAGCTCAAGGAAAATATCACGAATTAACTGCAGAATTGAATACTTTTAAAGATTCAATCGAATCAAGACAAACCCCAATTGCTCAGAGAAAAAATGTTCGTTTACGCTTTGCTGGAGCTAAACTTTCTCTTAATAAATTGCAAAAAGAACAGTCAAAAACTGCACAACAGCTTAAATTGGCTTTTAGGTTTGTTGATTTAAACAAAAAATTTATTTAGAATATTCGCTTGAACAAAACATATTTGTATTTGGGGGAGTTAGGAATTTGGTGAAGAAATGAAAGAGGGTCAATTTTTTCATTACTTTTCGTATTAAAAATGTGTCCTCACATTTAAGTACATATGGTTAACTTTTTAAAGCTTACATTAATTTATTAGTCTCTAAAAACTGAGACTTTGACCTGCCATAACTCGGCTCAAAATCATTTCTTAAGAAAAAGAAAATCGCCACGAATATTAAATAGCATTTCCTCTATCGAATTGTATTCAAAACAAAACCAACTCTTGTTATTTTATGAATTTTAATTTTTCTTTATTTTTAGTGAATTCTACTTAAATCTTGTACTTTTACAAAATTATCAGGTTTTTAAAATTATTTTTTTGTTTGTTAAATTCTTGTCAATTTTAGCAATTAAATGCTACCGGGTTTCGTAAAATTTTCAAAAAACATGACAAATTAATGATGAATGATGCTGGAATGGATTGGAGAATAAATCGGGTTGAAAAATCTTCATTTTTTCTCAATTCTGATATTGAATCCTTAATTAACAATGTTGAATCGACGGTCATTAATGAACTGGAAGGGGGTAATAGACAGGCGGGGATGAAACGACTTAAGGTTTTTTTTAATTTTTTTCAAACTTTCGGACCTATTTTCCTCTTATTTTCCCTTTGTTCTACCTCTGTCAAATCCTAAAAGGAAAGGTCATTTGTTTAGGACAATAGGTTTTCGGCCTCAATTTTTCTGACTGACATAATTTCAAAATTTCCAAATTATTTTTGAATTTACATTATTTAAATATCTCATGTCAGGTTCCTCCCCTAAGCGAAAAACAAAATGCTGGAACAACATTCTCGCTAGGCATGTTTATGGGTATATTTATAGTTTTGGCTGTCGCAATAATTCTTTCATGGTTTGGATTGGAACAACAAGTAAATGAACCAAAATGGGTTGCTGTTCGCCTATTTCGAGGCTTTTTTCTTTTTTTCCTTTCAATGTGGCTTTGTGGACTTAACATGTTTTTTTATTATTTAAAAAATAAATATAAAAATATTTTCAAGGTATGGTTGGGCAGCTGCAGGTGTTAATCATGTTCTCATTTTTGAAGTAGATCCTCGCAACCATTTAACTTATCAGACGGTTTTTTTAATTAATATTTTTATTTTCTCCTTATACCAGTCAACTAATTTTAAGTAAGATTTAAAACCTCAGGTCACAATTTACTTTTACTTATTCTGTGTGTATAAAAAATCGCTGCTCCTGTGCAGAGCTGCGTCGAAATTTCGATTTTCGATTTTCGACTTTTTTTCTACCGATTTTCGATTTCCGAATTTCGAATTTTTTCATAAAATTTCGATTTTCGACTTCGATAATTTTAGTTTTTTCGATTTTCGTTCGATTTTCGATTTTTTTTGCAAAATTGCATTATCTTTTCTCTTAAGATTTTATTCCTGCGGCGCCAAAAATGAAGAAATTTGGCTACTTAGCCTTTCAAAATTCTCAAAAATTTCGCCTGCGGCGCTGAAAAATGAAGAAATCGGTCTTCTAGTCTTCCAAAATTTTTAAAATTTTCGCCTCCGGCGCAGAGAAGTGAAGATTTTTTGCTTAGCGATCTTTCAAAATTCTGAAAATTTTCGCCTGCGGCGCAAAAAAAGGTTAAGAAAGATGGAGGAATAAAAATATGGGATAAGAAGATCGCGAGATTCCCTTTAATACACCCAAATCTCACAATAATCCGCCCAAATCCCGCGTAACCCTTGATATCCCTCATATTCGCCTGATATCATATAATATCCCCCTTAATCTAACCAAATCCACCTAAATAATATTATCATTGACTTTCCACCCGAGCCTCCAATTAATCCATTTGCCTTATAATAATAAGAGGGATATAGGAGGATGGGATATCAAGGGGTAAGTAGAATATTGGAGGAATAAAGGATTTAAAGTGATCTAGGGTGCGGATTTAATTGGTCTCTAGTCAACCCTCTAATCCTGTATATCCCTACGATCACTGATATCTCTTAAAACTTCCATTAATCCATTGAATCCCCTTATATTTCAATATTAACCCTTATATCTCCATATTGCGGATTGTTTACTACTCTTTTAGTTATTTTAAAAAATTTCGATTACCGATTTTCGATTTTCGACGTTTTTTTCTGCCGATTTTCGATTTCCGATTTTCGAATTTTTTTTATAAAATTTCGATTTTCGATTTCGATATTTTTGGATTTCTTTTGATTTTCGATTTCCGAATTTCGAAGATTTTTTTATTTCGACGCAGCTCTGCTCCTGTGTTAGGAAATATTTAACATAAGGGTAGACAAAATCGCACACGACTTTTCTCTTCTCATTTCTATTTTTTCTGTTATTAAGACGCAAGTCTATTTTTATTTAAGCATTGCATTACATTGAAATGTGTTCAAAAAATTGAAACTTTTAACATTAAACAAAAATTTTCATTACTCTTTTTAATTTTTTGTATTCTTTGTTTTCACTACTCAAATGCTATTTTAAAATTCTGACCTTTTAAAATTTGTTCCGTAACTTTTAAAAAAACTTTTAAGGTTATGCAAATTTCTTCTTTTATGTTAATGCTTTGGGCAATGTCTGTACTTGGATATTTGTACGCTTCTTGGCTTCGTTTACCTCCTTTTCTCTTTCCAATGGCTTTAATGTTAATTTGTGTTGCTTATCTTTTTAACCCGTAATTTTTGTTAATTTTTAATTATTTTAATTTTTTTAGTTTTAAACACCCAGAACATTTTTTTCATCGAAATTCTCGTTTCTGGCTTCTTAAACATTGCTTTAATTGTTTGACGGCTCCTTTTCATTATGTTACATTTTCGGATTTCTGGCTAGGCGATCAAATGAATTCTCTTGCGTGAGATTTTTCAATTAAATATTTGAAATAATTTTTATCGGGGAAATTAATTTTGGTTAAAATAAAATTTGATTTTAATAAAAAAAATTTTAAGAGTTTTTCCTTAATAGAAAAATTTGTGAAAAAATTATTTTCAGACAAGCAAAAATTAGGGAAAAAATTATAAGAAATAATTCTCCCGTATGTCTCCAATTTTATTTTTCAGGCAACCCTTTCCTCATGTTAAAATATATTTTAAAAATTTTATTGTAACGATCGCTCACTTGATAAAAAATTTTTTTCAGAATTTGTTTTCTGGATCTCCAATATTTTATTTGTTTCTACGCAACAGAAGTTGACTTTTCTGATGCTCAATTCCAAGTTCGTACCCTCAACATAACCGAAGGCCCCGTTCCCTGGGGTTATGTTGATATCAATACTGGCCAAGATATGTGTGTTGCTTCTTCTGGAATTCGATCTCTCGTATCAGTCGTTCCAGCTCTCGTTCGTTTTTTGCAATGTATTCGTCGTTATCGTGATACTCGAACTTGGCATCCACATTTGGTTAATGCATGCAAATATGCAACTACTTTTTTGGTTGTTGGAAGTAATTTATTAAGTAAATGGTGGTCAGATGATACTTCTATTTTCTTTTATCTTTGGGTGGCTTCTTATATTTTTAGCTTTACATACACATTTTTGGTTGGTTTTTATTATTTTTTTTGGCAAGGCTAATAAAACAGGAAAAATTTTTTACTCTTTCGGGGTGCAATATTTGTGGACGTAGTTTGGAGACAAAGCTAGAATTAAAAAAAAAGAAAACTGGAAAATAAAAACTTGTGAAATGCTGACTTTGGGATAATTTATTTGATCGTACTTGATGTTTCGTTTTTTTAATTGTGACGAGATGGGGTGTCTCCTTTTTGATCTCACACATCCTCTTTCTGACAATGAGGATTTTTCTTAAAAATTTATTTTTTAAGTGGGACGTATTTATGGATTGGGGATTAATTGATCCGAGAGCACCCAAAGAAGCTCCACTTCTACGAGAAGAAATGATTTATGGAAGTAAATGGTATTATTATTTTGCAATTGCTGAAGATTTTATTTTACGATTAACTTGGGTAATGAATGTTTCGTTAGCGGAAGCATGGTTTTTTTTAATATTTTTTAATTAATTATTTCAATTTTTAAAGGATGTTACAAGGAGATTTGCTTGTTTGTATATTGGCTCCTTTGGAAGTAATTAGGAGGTTTGGAACTTTTTTTTAATTTTATGTGGGGAGACATGGTTGTATTTATTTAGTTAGTAGGGGTAGTTAA